TTAAAGCGGCATCATCCGAATGTGAACATCACTTCTACTAAGAAGAAATGCGGCCTTGTGCAAGTACCGCTAAAGTCGGCATTGAAACAACCCCTGTCAAGTGTATTGTGTATTGGCAGCTTCTCAAAATAAACATTTTTTTTTTTTTTGTACCGAAAATTAACCGAACCGAGCTCTCCAAGACACTGTACCGAACCGAATACAATTTTAGCGTACCGTTACACCCCTACACATTACATATTCTCTCATTTTCTCAACAATGTTTGTTGTCTTTAATAAATAATGATTACAATTTAATCACATTAAATTATTTTCAATTCAAATATTTCACTTTGTATGTTGTGAACTGACATATTTGTTGAAGTAAATTTAATGCTAGAAATTCTAGCAGATATTTTTATAAGTAAAACAAATTTATTTTGATACAGTTATTGTGTAGTTGTTCGTAAGCTTTTCGTTAAATAATGAAAGAATCAGTGTCTTGTTTCAAATCTGGTTTGAACCTGGTTCTTTTTTTTGATTAATAAGCAGATCATGCAGAATTATTGAAAAAGGATTTTCCGAGGTCACATGCAGCTGTTTTATAATTAAAAGAAATTATTTCACTAAACGCTGGCTATTTATTTCAGTCGTTGTCAGTGTAATCACAGCTTATTTTTGCACGTTAACATGAAGATATTGCATTAATAAAAGTAAATTAGTGTAAACTGATATAAATTGTTTCACCATTAGCACTGTGTGCGGGTGTATTGAGTCAGGTACTTTTTCTACATTTGTCTTCTACTTCGATGTTAATTATTTTTGCTTCATTGATTAATAGCAGCAGCTTAATTATAGTCTAACAGTAGCCAACATCTCATATAAAGCATGATTATTTTAATGTAGTTAATTAATAAGTTTAACTGAAGTAGAGGAGCTCAAGTTGTTAACCATTTATTCACCAGTTTATTATTTTTCTAGTAAGGAGCTGACGTACCAAATGAATGTGGATCACGCTTTATGATGGTTCCCAACAAACAGTGCTTTAAATTCTTGTTATTGCTATATTGAAGTAGCAGTATTTGCTTTCTGTAATCACTATAGTAAAAGGAAAGGGACAGAAAGAGGAAGAGAGAGAGCGGAAAAACGTGATTGAAATGAAAGAGATAGACGAGAGCTTACATCGGAACTGTTTTAATTGCAAGAAGCTCTGCCCACTGACCCGCACCAGAGCAAATGGAAACTGAAATAAGATTTTCAAATGAAATACCCGAAACGTTGGACACTATTTAATTTAGAATATGCGTTATGCCAGGTTTAAACCCATTATATCACATGGACCTGAGCCAATGTGTGTCCTCCTGCAACACTTACCATTTTTGTGATGAGTTCAACAAGAATTAGCTGTTTACATCGGCAAAACTGGCATTTATTTACTGTGTTTTCACTTTGAAATTTTTTATTATTGATGTTTTAGTCAACGTAATGTCTAAGAGATCGATAAGAATGTAAACCATTCTCTATTCTGTCACAAAAACTAGCTAAAATACTAAACTACTAAAACTGTTTAGGTACAGTTACATTAAATCTGGCAAAATATGTTGATCCTGGATGTTGTCACCGCAACTCTAATCCAACTTGAAATTCAAATTTGCGGATGGCTTCTCAGCAGGTTACTCTTTATCTGGGATGAGGAAATATTGATGGAATAACGCTCCATGCCTCCTGTTTATACAGTTGGTGACTGATCACAGGAAGCTGTTTGAAAAAAATGTGGAGGAAAGAGAGGAATTGCGGTGTGATATTTCTTTCCTCTTTCCTGTGCAAAGTCGCTATGAAAATGTGGGATGAGCGCCACAGAGTGGCTATTTTACGTCATCCTAAGAGCCACATTTCATTCATTCTGTTTGTAAAAAACGGATCCGATATGGCATTGCGAAACTATTTTTCGCTCCCGTTGGAGCACATGGTTTTCGATCGAGGCGTGTTGCTGTCCAAAATTTCGGACCGGTGTGTGAAGGCTTTTAGTTTTCCATTTGGACCGTCACTGGAATCAAATTTTCGATCCATCACAATTTTATGCCCCATATATTCTGGTGCAAAATGTGTATTTGCTTCCATTTAAAAAATGCCATATAATCATTTTGAAAAGTCTCTAACAACAGGTTGAAATGCACCCAAGGTCAAAACACACTTTAATTATGTTGCATTTAATGTTCATTTTTACTGCAGTTCATTTCATGACTCAATTTTATGAAAGTCTCCCATTTACGTGACGCAACCTGTAATGATTGGTAGTTAGAACCATCTGCTCTCATTGGTTACTGCATGTCACATGCATCTCCGAAATGGAAATTCTAAATGGTAACAGATATTACACTACTGTTATTAGTCGTATATTATATAGAAAGTGCATTAAAAGAAAGAACTTTTTATTCAGGGGAGTAAACAACACAGTAGACATGTGAGGGAAAGTGAGGAAGCAGGCTAGGACAGGAAGTCCTGAGAGTGTAACAGAGGTTTAGTTGCTGGTGGCACTCCAAATCAAAAGAGACTGGGGCACGATTCCTCCCAGTGGTAAATATTCAGCTAAATTAATGTTTGGACACTTCAACAATTTTTGTATACCTGACATTTTTACTGTTTTAAAACATGAATGGATCACACGTCGGTGGTAGGAGGGGCGTAGTATCGGGGATGTTAAAGTTTTGAGCTGAAGACTTGGTTGGAAAAAAGAACTCGTTACAGCGTCTCAGAGCACTTTCACATTTAAAACTCAAAACATATTCCTCCATCTCAGAGCTGCGTTACACACTGCATGAAGGGTAACTTTTAAAAATGGATGATGTGGGCACTTGAAAATAAATAAAGGGTTCTTTGAAACGGTTACTAAAAGCACCTTTTGAAGCAGATGGCACACATTGAATCGATTCTTTCTGTTAAATCAAACTTGAAGAAGATTGCGCTGCCACAGCAGAAATCAAATCCTGTATTTTTATTTTTTTTTTGCTTTCTACTGCAGCATTAAGAGTTGAAATAAATGTGAAAAATGTTTAAAAAAAACCTTTAAATGAAATCTGCGCACTTATCTCCTCAGACTTGTTGCTGCTCTCATCCAAACACACACTTACACACCTGTGGGTCTGTTCTCTCCCTGACTGCAGTGAAGGCCAGATTGAATCTTGTTGTTTTGCCTTTTCTCTCTAGAGATGCTTGACTCGTCTCTGCCCGCTGCTCCTGGCAGCCTGTGTTGTGGCCAGCGGGTCACTGGACTCCAACCCAAAGTAAATAATTAGTGATACTGGCTGGAGCTCTTTGTCTTAGTGTGAGTCTGTGTGTGTGTGTCTCTTAATTTGGCTAAGGCTTGCGGCCGTGAAGAGAGATGTCATTATTTACGCCAGATTATGGTTGCCTGGTGCCACCAAGGGAGTCTGTTGCCCATTCCACCGGAAAGCAGGCTTAAGCTGTTTATTTACCAGTCCTTGTATGTGTGTGAGTGTGAGCAGAGGTTTTTTAATACGCCTCATCCAGCATTTAACAAGCACTTCAGTGCATTTAGAATGAAATTATCACTAATTAATTGAGTCTAATGTGATTTTATTTTAATCTGTGTTGTTGTTTTTGTCGTATTGGGGATGCACTTTTAACAAGCTGACCTGTCACATATAATCAAATCAAACTTCAAGAGTGATACTCGTTAAATGATAACACAATCAGAAACTATAATATCTACATTAATTTATACTAGGGGGGATTCAGAGGGCCTCCTTCCACTGCAATTATCTTGTATGTCAAGTTGAATATTCTAGGGTTTTTGTGTGGCTTTTACACTACCAATCAAAGGTTTGGCGTTGCTTAAATGTTATTGTTCTCCAAGGAAGCACAACTGTTCATATTAGGAATGGAAAAGATCCACATTATAAAAGAAGATTCAGCAATTCTGCCAGAATTTTGACATTCGGTCTGTAGCTCAAGATGATCCTGTGATTAATAATTTTACATTTTTAAAACATTCTAAATCACTCTGTTTTTTTATTTTTAGGTTTTTACCTGATACCAAAGTATGAGCTTTTTAACCTACAATAAAGATACTTTAAATATTTCATGTGACATACCGGGAACAAAAGCATTATAAATTTAAACACAGGTAATATATAATTTTAAATTGCCGGATTAATTGATAATTTAGTTGAATCTATCATTATTTTAAATAGGGATGCACCGATATCGATACTGAGGTCATGTACTCATACTTGTAAAAGCACTGCGTTACCAAAGACCAATATCACCCTGTGATGTCATCGACAGAAGTTTCAGTGCACAGAGACTCTCTCAGCATCAACAAAATATCAGGCTCCGCTGTGAGGAGATATTTCAGAATTAATAATAACCCACGGGATGCCAGACATGTTCAGAAAATATCTCTCTGCATGAAGATGCCGTTTATGGTACAACAGATGCACTCCACGCCTCACGGGAAAACCGAAGAGAAGAAAACGACGATGGATTAGAAATCAAAAAACACTTTAAAATTATGTCTCACAAAAATTGCGGATTAAAGAGAAATTTGTGGCGCGCTATTTCTTTCCTGTTCCCTGTGCGATGTCGCTATGAAAATGTGGGACAAGCACCACCCAGAGGCTCTTTTACGTACCTCTCACGTCATCAAAAGAGCCAGATTTCATTGGCCGTTCTCCAATCCGATATGGCTGTGCAAAACTTTTTTTTGTTGGCGCATTCTCGCACAATACTTGAGACCAAAAAGTCAGATTGTGTGTAGAGGCCTGTATTTGTTGCATATCAGTCAGTTTACCCCCAAACATCACGCTATGTAAAATTAAATTTGATTGGATGTTTAACGTATCATTCAAACACCCTCATCGGCGACCAAAGAATGCTGAAAAGAACATCTTTGAAAGTCTTGCTAATCGTCTAATCGGTAAATATTAAGATGAAACCACATGCAGCTCCACCCACTCTTCTTCTCATTACTTCTGAGCTCCTTCCGCCATTTTTCTTTTGTAGAGCAGCCTAGTGGAGAAGGTGATTGACTGGAGATTGAAAGGTCGCCGGTTCGATCACCGGCTCCACTGGGAGTTGAAGGTGGGATGAGTGTTGAAACTCTCTCCCACCTGTGACAACCATTACTATGGTGGCCTTGGGCAAGTCACCAGTTCCCCACAGCTACCAGGCGCTAAAGCTATGGCTGCCCACTGCACCCAGTGTGTGTTCACGGTATGTTTGTGAAATGAAATGCAGAGCACAAATTCCTTGTATGTGTCACTCCATACTTGGTCCTAATGTCACTTTCACTTTTCTCTTCGATTGACCCATTGGCTTTAAGATGGACATAATCCAGAAAGTTCTAACTAAATTCCACTTTAAGCACGTTCCAGTTGTAATCCCCAAATTTTGTACATTTTCCATGAACCAGATGATGGTCTAGTTCTGCTGGCCTACCAGGAGCAGTGTGTGTCAGATTGTACCCAACTGGCCTGCCCTGGCACAAATCAAAGATAGTCCAGCCTCGGTGTGTGCCAATCTGCTGCTTCTCTCCATGCCTTCTGTGCCAACACCTCAGAAACGTCACAGATGACTGCTTCAGGATCTTCCTTGACATGTTTACCACATTTCTTTTATTATTCCAGTGGACACATCACGCAGGCCATAAATTCAATTGATTTATCAGTGGGAGAACCTGCGGCTCCTACAGGGTTAACTGTGTGTGACCATTTCACCGCAAGTAATTCCTAAAATTGAAGAGTTTTATAATGAAACACGTTTGGTCAGGTGATAATAACAGGAAAAGGCGGGAGAGTCAGATTCACTGGGGTGAGATTGTTACGAACACTGACATGTCTAACACAAAACCACGGGTCTCTTAAAGTACATCCATCTCCCCGGGTTTAACATTGAGTTGTTGTTTATTTCTATATAATCTCTATTAAAGGAGCGAAATGAAAAAAACACTTTTAAAAAATGTTTGTTTCATTAGTTGCATACTCTGTGATGCTTTACCCCTTTTTATTCTATTCATCGATTGCTTTTATCCACTTTTTTTGTCAGTTTCTTTCCCTGGGATGTGAACCCATAACCTTTGCGTCGTTATTATTCAACTAAAAGAAACTAAAGGCTAATATCACAAACTTATATTCTCTTTCAGAACAACAATGTCTTCCAGAAATCCCCTACCTTGCCTTCAGGTCAATAACTGGTCTTACCGATAACCGCAAGCCTGGTTACAGTAAGCTTTTTTTCTCAGAGCATGTACAAAAAAATAACACGTCTATATGTGCCCATTTAAAAAAAGTCCATACTTAAACTAAAAATATCGTAAAATGCTTAAGACCATTTTTATAATGGGTATTCAGCATTGAGTTTGAAAAACACAGACCCCTCCTTTGTAATCCAAGTGTTCCTGGTCCAGTGTTCCCTGTTTTTTAACAACGATGCAGGTTGACTGTCATTTTCAACAATGATGTGTGTGGATGATGCTGCTGTCTCCTGAACCCCTCCACAAAACGGCATGATTTAAAAAAAAATAAACAATTCACTATATAACTCGTCTAAAGGACATCTACTCTATAACAATACTGACATACTCTAAATGTACATTTGCTTCTTGTTGAGTGATCAAAAAAGCTCACGGAGCTCAGACCAATCTGGTGGCTCAAGACACATCACGTGACCCGATATCGCGGGTCAAAGAAGCGCAACGTGAAGCCAGGAAATTTAGTTTTCGCATCCCAGAATGCAATGCTATTCAAGTCATAGTGTGAGCGCTCTATAACCGCGCAGAAAACCCCTGTTTTGAAAATAACCAATATGTTTGCACAGGACCTGATTAAGAGTGTGGTGAGGTGAAGGGGTGGAAAGTTGGTTAAACTATATCTTGAACGATATCAGTTGTTCTCTGGTTGGTTACGTTTGTAAATGGTTATGAGCTTAAATGGTGACACCAGATGCAAGCACTCCTCCCGAAACTTGTTAGGGACCTGTCAAATAAACACATTTATAAAAATGTTGAAGGATTTACTTGATTTTATTGTGTACATTGGTTACGTCAAACTGATGTAAATATCGTGTTAGGAATGTTCATTTCATCTAAAATCATGTCAGATGTACACAATAAAATAAATTAATTTACTATTTGTTTAGTGCATCCACTCGATGAAATTCAGAGTTAACTAAAACTGTGAAAAATATTTTCTACATATTTTATCATATCCAAAAATCTTACATATTGTACCTTTAACCAACAGACAAGATGAATTGCGACCATTTAATGTGATTGCCCACTACCTGTGCTTAGGTCCAATTAAACAATGAGGACCCATCGAAGCGAGAAGAAGAGTCTGGGTCTGTATGTGTTTTCTCGGTGATGTTGAATCAATTTGACACCTCGATATGAGCTAGCTCTTATTTTTCACGCTCGTTTCAGGCTGTTGAAATAATCTGCTCTCATTAGTCGGCCACAGAACTTGTCTGATTTATCCAGGGTGTCAGTGACCCTGTAGTACCGCGGGTCTCGAATCAATCACAGACCTTGAACGGCTAAACCTGAGACCAAAACCTGCTTGATTTATCTAGCAAATTACCAGTGCCTAAAGACAAGAGGAGGAAATTGTGCGCTACTCCCCCGAGCAGCTACCATAAGGTCCCAGAACAAATGGTTAGGCCACCTGCAAAATACATTAAACAGGTCATTTATGTATTGTACCTTAAGAAAGTTTCAAAGGCTTCAAGTTCAAGGCTATACACCTGCTGCTAAAACTGTTTTCATCACAAAACCAGTGTATAATTCTATTTTAATCTGTTTATCCATTCATTTAGTTATCAGTTTAGTTTGTGGTGATAATTAAAAATATTAGCTACCCAAACAAAATCATGTGAGGTCACAAGAGCTTTCACAAGCTCAAGAAAAAGTGGTTTTAATTAGTATAATGTTAATTAGTTGGCGACATGAAACAAGTGTGGGCATTTAGAGTGAATATAACAATTTATAATTTATATTTCCTGTGCTCTTACCATACATAGGAATCTGTCAAAGGCACAAGTTCTCCAAAGAAACAATAATAGGATTATTAGAGTTAGGGATGAGTTTGATGGGGGTTTAACTGGTTTGGCTTTGAAAAAATGTTGGATGATGTAGTCTTTAATAGATTTTGACATTTTCGAAGCTGAATTTTGTAACAGAGCCGTTTCACCGATTGGGTGCCATTTCTGTCCTTGAGACTTTAAATGTAAAAATAAGGGTTAAAACTGCTTCATAAATACATTTTATTTCTAAAAGAATACACATTTAAGCAATAACATTTAAAATAGTTTTATTCATTCATTCATTTTCCAACCCACTTTTTCCCTTTCGGGGTCACAGAGGTCTGCCGGTGCCTATCTCCAGTACAGGTCGCCAGTCCAATTGTGGGGGAAACCGGAGTACCTCAAACCGACAACCTTCTAACTGGATCCACATAAAACAGTGAAAAATAACATTTATCGCTTGTCACCTTGTCAGGTACTACACTTCACCATAAAATATTACGACTCAGAAAATAACTATATAATGTTTGTTTACAATACATTTATTTACGCAAATATATAATATACATTTTTGTCATGTTCCCAGCTTTTTACTCAATCTTTTGATCCTAACCCATGCCAGTTTTACAGCAGGAAGTTGCATCACCTGGATCTTAAGAAGACCATGAAGAAAGGTGCTTCTCTAAATTTCTTATTTACATATTTGATGATTTTGTGATGATATCTTGGAGCGTCGTTTAAAAGAATACTATCCTGTTACTCAGATTTAATTAGTTTAGTGGTGACACTCTGGCCTTCAAGTTAGAAGGTTGTCAGTTGTTGCCCTGCAGTGGACTGGCGACCTGTTCAGGGTATCCCCTTGCCTCTCGCCCAATGTGCGCTGCAGACCCCCGTGACCCCAAAAGGGAATAAGGGGTTTTGTAAAATGAATGAATGAATGAATTAGTTTAGTGTAAAAATTCACATATTTGGTAAATAACTGTATTTCCTGGTTCTATAATCATCATCAGGTGGATATTTAGCATGTATTTAGTCCTGTTACTTTCAGTCTTGTTACTTAAAGAACAAATAAAACGAGGTAGTAACAAATTAAACAAACAGTAAGAAGAACAAACAGCACCCATCGTTTGATTATGAATGTAATAAAACCAGTACTCATTAGAAATACTTAAGTGTGTTTTCATTTGGAATCTGTTTTGAAATCAAGTTAAAAAAGTGACATTTTGAAGCAATTGGCTCAACCATTCAATATTGAAAAAATAAAACACTCAAGGACTTCACTGCTGTTTTTTTGTTAAATTGAAAATTGAATTAAGCTTGTATTTGAAATGTGCTCTCATATTAGTGGTTAAATTGATTATTTAAGGCAAATTAAAAGAAAAATAGGCTACTTTTATTGACATAGCACCCTGTGTTACTCTAACTGCAGGAAAATGATATAACAATGATCGTTGCCGTATTCATGGCTTGTTAAAAATACCTCAATCAACAAAGTGACACAACGCTCTGTCTACAAACACCATTAAAGTATGACATCAGTTTGGTGGAGCAGGACTTTCATATTTCCGATGTCAGATATTTTTGCTTCTATACCTTTTTCAAGCAAACTACAGAGCTCTGTTGGTGAGCAGTTTAGCTTAAACACTTTTAATGTTTTTTCAACATATTTGCAATTATTTGATTTAATTTTTGCTAGTGATTTCCACCTAACACGCAATAAGAATTCGGACAAATGTTTGCCAAAAAGCTGAATTCTAGAATAACATTGCGTCAATAGCATTCCATTTAGCAACATTTTTCATCATGTTGATTAAAAAATTAATCATATTAATCATAGTCATTTTTATATTCTTTTATTTTTCCTACTTAACAAACTGTGCAAATGAATTACACAAATGTTTTGCTGTAAATTACAAATCTTATAAGTCTTCATTAACATTTTTATAGAAGAATTTATAAAAAGATGGGATGGTTGTCCATTGTGCACCCAGCTAGGTGGCGAAGCCTCCTGGGAGTAAAAGCGGAAATGAGATACGGAGATAGAGGGCTATG